GGGGGGGGGGGGGGGGGGGTGGTCCAGCAGCGTTAGGCACATGGAGGGTTGGGAGAAAGTCTGCAGATTCGAGAGGCAGCGCAGTCTCTCCGACAGCAGCTGCGTGTGCGAGGTTCGACCCGTGGATCGAAGCCGGGATTCTATTCTTCAGTTGTTTTTGGGCTTTGTTTTGAAACAAGGGCAGCTGTGTAATACAGAGGCGAAGCAGGTTGAAGGAGATGAGACCATCGAAGACAAAGTCAAAGGTGCCCCCAGCGTATAGATAGAACCTTTAAGGGTATGACCTGAACCTTGATCACAAACCGATGACCACAAGCAAGACTATATATTTAGGGTGCGCATATCGGCTGCCTTGTGTTTCTTAACTTGGAGACCTTCGCCACGGACCCCGAATGTCGCTCCCTTTCCTTCCGGAGGATACCTCGGGCAACTGGTGCTGGTGGAAGGCTTTCCGCGAACTGCAGCAGATCTTCAGGCGGGTGAAGTGGGGGACCCTGCTCGGCCATTGGGGGTCTTGGCAAGTCCTACCCGGCAGTTCAGCGAGGGCTCCCACCGACTCGACCCAGCTAGAAACTGACCAACTCAAAATTCGACCAACAACAAACTGTGAAAATGAAACTGGCGCCCCTTGGGGTGTGCTGGGCCATGCCAGGCTTGGACAGGCATTGAGCCCGCGCCACTGCTGACTTTGGACTTCGATTCGGGTCGCTGGGCTTATCCCGAAGATCCCGAATTTCCATGGTTTCGACTTGGGAGTCAAAGTCCACGCGGAATGGCTGCGAAGCTGAACGCCACGCCGTTGCCTATCCTAAGCCCCCAAGCGCCAACCCGCGTCCTCACGAAGAAACATGGCAGCCTTTAACACCTGCCGTTTTTGGCTTTTGGTGACGGTGGACAGTTGGGCCCCACAAAGCTGTTTCCCGGTTAAAGTGACGGATCCCTTTTTTCTCACAACCAAGCCTGAATTCTGTTTGCCGGATAGATGACGTTAACTGATGATTCTAAAGCCGCTGAAACCATAAACCATCAAACTTAGATCGACTCGCTGGCTTGGCCGCGAAGGAACCCTAAACCCTAAACCCTAAACCCTATTGGCCTCAAAGGAAGACCTGACATGCCTTGGTCTTTGAGGCCTCCATCTCTCCGGCTTTGTGCGGAGCTTTTCCGATGCATCGGCATCGACCGTCGCGGCGGTACCTTTGATGCACTGATTAAGAGGTTTTAGAAAGCAGTTGTTTCAACATAACTTAGATTTCACATCTAATTAACTTTATGTTGAATCTCATCGCTCATCCTTGAGCTTCAAGGACTTTGACTTGACTCTCTTGAATCATAGGGCTTCGACTCGTTGAGCATGTTCTTGTCCAGGCTTCTCGAGCTTCCCGGCTCTGGACAGTTTTATGTGGAGCTTGCTAGGTTTCTAACTTCTGGCACAGAGGGGCAGGGGACGACTGCGTTGGCTCAGCCGGCTGGTCAGGATCCAGGATTTTAGGCAGGGTTCAAAAAGGGTTCAGGTGATAATTAATAATTATTAACTAATAACTCACATTTAATAATTAAAATTTTCGGTCAATAATTGGTATGAATAATTCTGATCTGAGAGCTTCGTTATCGGGACTACCTCAGGTCACCAAGCTACTGCGGAGCTGCCAGCCGCTCCATGCAGCCGTACCCGAGGCCTCTGTGCTGCCCCATGGCCAGGTTTCAGAGAGCATTTCGGGGGTTTAGGGGGGGTTAGGGTTTAGGGTTCAAGGGGTTTGGGTTTAGGGTTTAGGGTTTAGGGTTTAGGGTTCAGGGGTTAGGGTTTAGGGTTTAGGGTTCAGGGTTTAGGGTTTAGGGTGTTAGGGTTTAGGGTTTACCTATAGTCTCCATTGTAGTTCCTGTTCGGGGTGACCTTATAGGATCCTAATTATAAAATTGGTTAAACCAACAAAAGTAACTACAATGGAGACTATAGGTAGGTCGGGGAAGTCAAGGTTCTGTTGCCCGCGGGATTTTTTGTCATGGCCCTTCTGTTGGAAACGAAAGCAAGAACAGTAGTGGCAATGGCAAGTTCTTGTTTGCAAACAGCCAAACCGCACCAACACTGATCATTGCGATTATGATTGCTGCAGGGTTTGACGTTCCGGTTTCGTGCTTCGGTTCGCCTCAGCCTTCTGGCTCGCAGTTGCTGCATTCCTCAGGGTTGCATAGCCTTTCTATCTCGAGATGAAGACGCAGACCTTGCAGAAGCCGAGCCCCTGAGCTTCCAGAACTAGCCTTGCAAGGCTCCTGAAGCACTGGCTCGGCGCTGCCCGATACACGAAGCTGGGCGAGTCTGGGGGTTTCGGGCTTGAGATGGTCATAGATTTCCGCACTGAGGCTTCAGAGTGGGCCTGCCTGTCGATTGAGACCTTGGAGCAAGGGGATTCTTGCAGCGAGGCTTTCAGAAAGCCACCCGAACCCTTGACCACGGATCCGGAAGTTCTGAAGATCGCAGACCCCCAATCTCACAATCCTTACAGCACCCCTTTTGATAAACTGAAGCCCTTAACCCAGTACCCCAGTTAGGTTAGGGTGTAAACACGGGCCAAACTAGTGGACGACCCCTGCTGTCGCAAGTTCAAGGAAGTGGTGGGATCCTGCCACCTTCGAGGCTTCGAAAACGACATACCTGGCCTACATGAAGAGCCAGGCCCGATAAGCAGGGGTTCGAGCATTTCTTTTCGACTTTGGGGCAAATGGGCTTGGGGGTGTGTGGTTATGCTGATATGTTTTGTGTGCGTTCCAGCACTTCAGACTAGGGTGGTTCATCTGGGTCGCGCTTTGCCAACATTATTGGGCAAGTTGCTTGTTGAAGTGAGACTTGTCGCAGACCAATTGTCCACCAACCCGCTCAGAAGTTAGCCGGATAAAATCGAAACAAAGTTCGACAGGCAGCTAGGATGCAATATTGCACCTAGCAGAACAAGAAGCAGAAGCAGAAGACTGATTAATCCTCACTCTGATCACCTATAAGCAGTGATTTTCACAGACGAGGTGTCCGCGCACAACACCTACGATCCGAGCTACTATATTCGCCCTTCGTCGAGCCCTCCACTGAAAGCCTGGCTTTGCTGGCTCGCGCATCTGCTCTACGCCGAGCCGCTGCTCGGCTGAGTCTCGTGGTGTTGCAGTTGTTTCTTGCTGCTTCCGCTGCTGCTGCTGCTGCTGATGCTGCTGCTGCTGCTGCTGCTGCTGCTGGGGCCGTAACCTCCTAGTCTGTCGGGCAGTCTAAGCTGCGGCAAGAATATGCTTCGTACCCGTGAGGTGCGCATGAGCCTACTGTAACGCGTTGTTGCAGGTACCAGAACTTCTGCACGACGGTGCTCAAGCGCTCGGTCGGGCCCTTGGCGCCTCCAAGCTCGGCCGGCTATACGAAGGCCACCTTCGAAGAGTGAGGTTTAATTAGGGTCGAGGAAGGCCGGCTGTGGGGACAGCCGATGACGTCGCATGTTGATGGCTCCGGTAGGGCCGTAGGGAACTGCCGACATGATTCGAACTTGCGGCAGAGACGCGTGCTGTGTGCCGTGATTGTTGAATCATCGGGAACCACCTACTAGTTGACACTTCCCATCTTGCGAGAGCCCGATACGCATGCACGAGCGGACAAGGTTTCGTTTCGTTGGACAAAAGCAGTTTGCAACTCGAGTGTGGATAAGCCCCATCAATTCACTCTTTCAAACTTTGCATGGGCTCTTTGGCCTACACAGGCTGGTCGCGCGCCCTTCACGGAGCAACCTGCCGATGTTACGCCAATGTTGGGTTTAGGGAGAGTTTAGGGTCTTTGGGGTTTGGGGTCTAGGACCCAGACTTTGGGCTTTACTGCAGGGTTTCGGGGGCTGGGGTTTGGTGTATATAGGGTTCAGGGGGAGCCTGCGAGAGCTCTGTCTGTCTTTGTCACCAGCAATGGCCCCAACAATCTATGATAACTATAATCTTATACAAACTGTTTCAGAATATGTAAAATACACAATCTAATACTATATAGTATTGTACCAATCATTAAAACCTCTCAGGAACCTGAACCGAAGAGCCTTTTTGTGAACTGAGGTCGGATGTTCAGGCTCAGCGAGGTATCAAAAGTAAAGTCGCTGTGCCATCGGATGCGCGGCTCGACCGGATTGGGCAGCCCCAGAATTCTGCTTGCAAATTCCATGGGCCTCGGCTGCTGGTGACCTGCTGGTGTTTGCTGGAAGTTCAGGACGGTCCAACATCGCTCGCATTGAGTCGGGTCTTGTAGAAAGTTGGCTATGGGCGGGTCTCGTGTTCGTCCAAACTTCAATGAAGCTACCGTCCAAGATTAAGCCGATGATGTCTTTAGATTTGAACATCCGACCAATACTTCCTCTGCAGGTCTTCCTCCATTCAAGATCTCGCGCTGTGGGGCTCGTAAGACGACCCTGAATGATGAAGAATGCGATGTGGTGATCGTGATGAGGAAGATGGCGGGCACTAGGTTTGCTGTTGTTCACCAGTCACCCCTTATGTTGTGTTGGACCTGCAGAGATGAGGCTGGCTGGTGTTCCCCTCGCATTTGTCGATGGCTGCACGGCGGCATGAAGCTCTGACGGAGCTGTAAGCTTCGTGTTCAGGGCTTCAACTTTTCGCCCGAAGCTTTGGACCCTTCAACTGTGTCATCACCGGAAATTCCACCTCAACTCCCTTTAGAATTCGGTGTACTGCCGCTATGACTACGTAGAAACCAAAGTCTGCAGGCAAAGAGATGGCTGGGCCCATTTGCAACGGATGCCTTGAGCGCAAGATTCTGCCGCGATTTGGCCACAGACTGTGGCCTAGCACGGGTAACCGAAGAAACTGTATAGGCTTGGCCCTAAGATGCTGCAAGCATTTGATTCATGAACGCTTCTGCAGAATCAAAACCCAGAGTTTCTAGAATCTCCTGCGACCACTCTACCTTGTTCTTAATCACGCGCCCTAACCCGTGGCTGCTGGCTCAGGCCTAGCAGCCTTGGAGGCAGCTGGATTGTCACCGCTGAGCCACTGAGCAAGAAAAGCACATAGCAATACATAGCAAGAAGAACTACGATGATGGTATTACTGCTACTACTATCTTCTAATACTACGACGACGAATATTACGACGACTAAAAAAACTAACCATGCCAAGAATAATAGTAATAATACTAACTATAAAGATAATGACAGCAGTAGCAATAACAATAACAATCATTACAATAATAGGAACAATTATGATAATAGTGACGATAACGTTGACTCGGCTTATGGTTGACTTGACCCTGAGGTTCCCTCCCACTTCGCGCAAATCGCAAATTGGGGGCTGCCCAAAACTGCAAAGTAATGAATAAATCTGTGGTGATCTGACTACGGCTTGTGGGTATTTATTGACTCTACAATATTCTATAGGTATAACACAAGGAGCCCTGAAAACAGTATCACCATGTATGTATGCTTCTTCTTGCTTAGAGGCATCACGCCGACATGTTTTTCACACTGGTCATCGTGAAACGAAACTGTGAGATTTCCTCCCCTTGCAGTCCAAGGCGACCCCAGGGCATTGATCTTCGGCATGGAGCAGGCTCCACGGGAAGTCGTAGCTAGGATCTGCAGATATGCCAAGGGCCCAATGTCTGCGTTTTTGTTTTACCAGCTGGCTGTTGTTCACATGCGGATGACAGGCATGACAGGCCAAATCGGAAAGAATCGGAAGATTCGTGTCACACGTACGACAAGCATGCATGATCCACGTAACTTGTTGGCCTGCGATAGCAAGGCAATGCAACCCGGGCACTTGCGGCCACTACCTCGCCTACATGTAGTAGAGCAGGTCTCACCTCATGCTTGTTTTGACTGCGGTGAACAAGACGAAGGTTCTCATGCCAATTCACGACATATGAAGTCTTACAGTAGCGCTATCCGTTTCGGAAGTTTGCTCATACAAGGCTGAAGGGGGATACATCATGCGGCACAGGTTTATGGTTTGCATGCGGAGCCGTAAGAGTCATCTCTGTGAGAGGATGGTGCCAATGCTGCGTCTCGAATCATGGAACTGCTCGGTCTGTACTATCGTCGCTTCCTGACGCTTGCTTGCCACTTCCTAGTTGGCCTGAGATTTACGGGGTCTGGAAGTTTATGAAGTTGAAGCTGCTGGGTCTGGCCACAAGGACAAGACATGGGCTTGTTACCCTTGTGACCAGGTGGTTTCAGTTGCTTGATTAACTGGTTTCATGAGTGCCGTTTGATCAGAACGCTATGAAGGGCACGACCCGAAGATGCTCGACTCCCGTAAACTCAGGCTCACTCTTTCCCAGCCCCCTTGCGCCCGTCCATCCCCCAACACCCTTTGCCGGCCCTTCCCGTGGTTATAGATTCTGGGTGACCGCGTTGCAATTTCAAGCCCGCGCAAGGATCGTCATGGGTGAAGCAGGGCCAGAAAGCAAAGCACCTTGGCTTTGAGCTGAACTGGGCAGGTGCAGTCTACTTATTGAAGCTTCGGTCCCGACATATCGCAACATTCGCGTCGACCGATGCCAGACCTTACGTTTCGCATCCTCGCGCAGAAGGAGCGAAGCAATGTTTGCTTGCGACAGCGTGTTATGTACATCTCTATATATATACATATATATATATATACATACGTATGTATGTATGTATGTATGTATGTATGTATGTACGTATGTAATGTAATGTAATGTAATGTAATGTAATGTAATGTAATGTAATGTAATGTAATGTAATGTAATGTAATGTAATGTAATGTAATGTAATGTAATGTAAGTAGTTGATAGGTACCTATCAGCCTATCTATCTATACCGTTAGCTGAAATTAGGCACAGATGCACATCTTCATAGCAAAGTATGGCTCGTTGCAGTGCCCCACCTCGAGTCTGCCCCCCGTTTGTGTCAAATCAGGCAGACCTCAGGGCCGCAGTCGTAAATCATGTCAAGATGACGCTACGAGCCTTCTGAAGTGTGTCCCCAGAGACTCCAATACCCCTTAATTAAGGAATATACCTTACATCATATTAGGGATCGTATTATAATTTGAGGTATATTCCGTAATTAAGGGGTATTTGAGTCTCTGGGTCCTGTGAGCAGGCCGGACCTTCGCCAGAGATCGACTGGATCTGGCATGCTCACACGACGTACCTAGCTTGCACCAGGGGGTATGAAACTGTGAAAGGCGGGAGAGGCAGCAGGTGTAGCGTCACAGTTTCCATGTCGAGAGTGCTGCCGTTTGTAGAAACTAGGTTGAAGTCTCGAGGTTATTTGCTCGTTATCTGAAGCCCGTTCGTCTCAGCTAAGGCATGCTATGATCTACGGCGACGATTGCCGGCACTTGTTCGGACATGTGCCCCTTGTGCGCGCATGAGTTGTAGCTGGGATGAAACCGGAAGCCACATCGAGCCGTCACATAGCAATCGAGCAAGGACTGAGAAGTAGTCTCGGGCTCAGGAGTAGCTCCACTGTCTTTCATCTTCGACCGGTTTATGCTACCGAGGATTCCGCATGTGCCGTGCAAGCCTTCGCAGTCCTCGCAGAAGCCCGCAGTGCCTGACTCGGGCCAGCTGGCGATGTCCGAGCTTACGAGGACGCTTCAGGAGGACCTGCTGCTTGCCTGGGCAAGAGGGACCCAACAAAACACCTGCAGACATGCTCTCCTCGGGTGTCCAGATACTGTCATGTTGTTGAAGATGACGAGGACACGTAATCAAAGCGCTGTTGCCAGTAAGAGAATTCGGAAGCAATGGCAACGGCAATAGCACCGGCATCTGCATGATCGCTATCATCATCGCAGCCATCGGCACCCCCTTCAACGATTAGATGGGCTTTTCCCTTTCTCTCAGAGTCTACATGCTCTGGTTTTTGTTCGCTTCAGAGTTTGAAGACCCCAAGGCTACTCCAAGAAAAGGCACGGCTCCGATAGTTCGGACAATTTAACCGTCACCCCTACGCCCTAATTACGCCTGAAATCTCAATAATCTTTCAGCTACGACAAGCAGCCCGAAAAACAAATGCCCTCTAAGCTTAAAGCAATCGCAACAACAATCCCAAGCCAAACAAGCCCTCGTACCCTAAAGCCCCAAACCCCAGAGGAAACCTTATCAGGCGATGCAGAAGAGGTGTTAAAACAAAAAGACCCTAGAGGAAGACCAGACCCGAAACTCCAAATCCAAGGATGGCCTTCGCAGCCGAAGGCTCCGAGCAGCTGGCAACGGCCTCCTCCTGGCCTTTCCGCCGGGATCCGGCCGAGGCGCCGGATGAATTATAGATCCCTTCAAGGGAACCCTTATAGATCCCGGTAAGGAACCCTTATACATCCCTTTAGGGAACCCTTCTAGATCCCTTAATGGAACCGTTATAGATCCCTGTAAGGAACCCTCCTACATCCCTGTAAGAAACCCTTCTAGATCCCTTCAAAGGAAGCCTAATAGATCCCTGTAATGAACCCTTCTACATCCCGTTAAGAAACCCTTGTAGATCCTGTTGAGGAGCCCCGAACAGGGACCCTCATTTAGAGAACATCATGGGTTTCGGGATCGACCCTCTCGAGACGTACAGACTTGCAAACCCTTGACTTGATCACAAAGAGAAACCACCACCTTGAGGGGGACTACAACATAGGCCTCGCAATACCACACGCTTTCAAGAAAGGCAGTGTATAAATCGGGGGTCTACTCCAGCGGTTCGTGCTTCGCAAGTTTCTGAAAGTTTTGGGTGCACTTGAGTTTCGTGGTTCTCGGTTCTTTCGCTGCTTTTGCTTTGTCCCTAGAAAAGACCGGGGAGGGGGGGAGCTCTGAATACTATCAAGACAACAGAAGTTGTGCTCTCAAAAGACCCCTCTGCTACCTTTCTTTAGCCCATATCAACGCCTGATTCGTTGCCGTGAAGCTTTGTAGCAGCCCGTATAGTAAGCCTTATGATAAACCGTACTGAGGCACTATCGTAACCCTAAATGCCAAACGCCTAAATCCGAAAAGCTTTTTCTAATAACCTGTATGGCAACCCTTGTAGCGACCCTAACATAGACCCTACAGAAGGACGATGAGATGCCCTATGAGTAGCCTTCAGTCTCCCTCATAGTAACCTCATAGAACCCCACAAACCCAACTAACCGCTTTAGTCGCAGCCCCGGGAGGACGACGTCTTCCGTAATGGCCCCCGTTGCAGTATCCTCGTACCCTGGAAGTACCCTTACAGAGAGAGGAGGACGATGTGATCACTCTGGGCTGCTTCATCTCTGGTGGGGATCGCTCCTGGCTCTCCGAGCGCCTAAGAAGCGCATCTCGGAGCCCAATTTTTTTTTTTTGCGGGAGCCGTTTAAAGGGAGGTTGGGGCTTAATTTAAGGGGTTTCGAATTTAGGGGTTTAGGGTTTAGTCGAATTAGCTTGTTTTTGTCTTGTCTTGTTTCTGGACGGGTCTTTCTTCGGCTTCGGCGTCGGTCGCCTTTCAATCCCCTGGCAAAGGTTGGTGGCACCCTTGGCCAGGCTCTGTGGCATTGCATGCAAGCTCCGGAAGACTGGAGCTGCCTGGCAGCTCTCGTGCAGGGTCGAGGGGGGCTTTGGCTTTTCATTTTGGACACTTTTCGGCGAGGTTGTCTGGCGCACTTTGCTCTTTGTAGCGGTGTTTTGAACACTCTTCGTGCCCGGCTCGGCTGAACTTTTTGTTCCTTCGAGCTGTGGCTGCCCCAGCCCTCCATCCTACCTTTGTGGCTTGCCCACGGCATTTCTTCGTATGAAGATGCACACTGGCTCCCATCGTGTCGGCCTTGCAGCCATTTCCACTCCAACAGACGAAGCCCTTTTTCAGGCTGCCCAAATCCGTCCACCTCGTCCATGCTACGAGACCCTGATCTTGTGGAGGCCCTCCAAGATTCTTGGGAGAGGAGGGATGTCTTCAGCTTCACCGGAAATCCCGACATAGAAAATTAGGCATCCCATGCTTATAAGGCCAACCCTGTCAACACCGTTCCGGTCGATGTAGGTCATTGTCCGACTTCTCTCCGGTGAGACGCTCCTGGAGAAAGTGATGGCCAAGGAGAGACCATTCTCCGGTTCAGTCGATGTTCAATGTTACACCACTACCGCCACCACTACTACTACTACTACTACTACTACTACTACTACTCCTGCTGCTGCTGCTGCTGCTGCTGCTGCTGCTTCTGCTGCTCCTGTGCTCCTGCCACTATGACGAGAACAGCAACAGTCGTGCATGCATGGGTCATTGCAAAAGCAAAAGCAAGCATTGTCATCGTCGTCCTCCACTTTTTCGGATCAGCATAACTATCATGCCGTCAAGCATGCTCGTGGCCATAGTAATCACCACATCAAACAACGGAAGACGAATGCGAAGAAGTGGCACCAGCAGCACTAAAGGGTCATAGCCATGAAGCAGTGGTTCCAGGAACTCGGACTCATCGGGCATCTCCTCATTCAATTTCAGAGCGGAGCCGTAGTTCATGGAAGTCCCAGCTCAACACCCCTCAGGACACGAAGATCCAGGAAATTGAGGTCCTTCTGCGTGAGAAAGGCCAGGGCGCCGTGGTACTCTTTCGCACATTCCCTCATGAATATATGAGGTCTTTGCAACTGGCGGGATGCCCGAACTCCTGGCCTTGGTTGTGCGACTGGTAGTCCAAGTCCGAAGGCGAGAAAGAAGACCTGAAGTTCTTCGTTGACGGAGAGGCTGGCGGTGTCTATGCACACTTTCGAGCTCCGAAGCCCAGCCTTGATCCAGCGGATTCAGATAGGAGCTGGCACGAACACGGCTTCTGGCCGAGACTGCGGTCATGGAAGGCAGTGTCATCAGCCTCCCGGCTGCCGACACAACTCCCTCGTCTCGTGCTGATCCTTGCAGGAAGTGTTCTTGATGGTGCTTGCCGAGTCTTTGCCGACGATCTTGAGTTCAGTCCATGGGATGATTTGGTCTTGGCCAGTGTTGCAATACGAGCTGTCTGTGCCTGCTCTAAGTCTGTATGGGATGCCGGAGTGCAAGCTGACTGCATTAGGGAATCAACACGTCTGCCATCATATTTTGCAGCCACACGTGTCTTCCGGTATATCATTGTTGTGGAGCCTCTCTTCATGCCCTGGCCCATCACCGAACTTGACTCAACCTGAGTCAAGTGTTTCCTAGCAAACAGGCTAAACGTAAACCCACAACCCGAAAGCCTGGACAAAGATTCCTATGCATCAATAAGGCCTGCAGACCAGAAACCGAGTTCTCCCAGCCTCAGGCTTGGTCCGTGTGAAGAAGCCTCCGCCTAAGCCACGTCCGAAGCCTGTGACCGCTACTTGGTGAAAGAAGTGTCCCAGGGTTTCGAACCACGTGATCGAGTATCATGTACACCCAGAATGGTGTGAGAGAGGCAAACCGTGACTGTGTCCCGGCAGCGTCTTGGGAAGATTTGCTAGAGTTCAGAATTTGGCCATGCATGGTGTTGGCACGGCTGTTAGCTAGGAGATCTTTGAGGATGCGAGTGCACTGCCTATAGCCAGCCAGACTTTGCAGCAGCGGCTGTTGCTGCTACTAGTACTATTACCACTACTGCTGCTGCTACTACTACTGCTGCTGCTACTATACTACTACTACTACTA